AGTTCTATTCTTATAAAACCAGTACAAAGAATATTAAAGTATCCTCTTATTTTATATGAATTAGTAAAGGTTAGTTGATAATAATATTTATACACACACGCGCGCGCGCGCGTACACACACACACACACACAAAATCATTAATGTATTATAAACTTCTTTAAAATTAAATATTTATTTTTTTTTAGTGTACTGAGGACAATCATCCTGATAAATATACAGTTGAAGAAGCATGGAAAACAATGACTGCTGTTGCTAGTCATATTAATGAATATAAACGTCGAAAAGATTTAGTATCAAAATATTTAGATAATGACAACACATTAATAAGAAAAATGGCTAAACTTAATATGCATTCTGTAGCAAAAATGTCTACTAGATTGAGTATACGATTAGCTTCAAGTCTAGGATTAACAAATGTTACTATTGATCCAGAATTTGAAGAATTGGAGAAACAATTTAGATCTGTTGAAAAATGTACTCTGCAATTATCTAAAGATGTTGAAAATTGTCTTACATATTTAAGTGATGAAGCTATTTCAGGAGAAATGATATCAGATTTTATAATTCAGTATTATCAAGGAACAGTAAATATTGAAGCAAAGAAACTTAGAGATATAAGATCTATAATTTGGTCACAATTTATTCAAGATTTAAAAATATGTTTAAAAAATAGAGTTAGTGAACCAGTAAATTGTTTAGCAACTTTATTAGAAGGACCTGCTGTGTTAATAACAAAGACACATGATAAATTATTGGATTATGATGCTGCTATTTCTAAAAGTGAAAAATATAAAGAATCAAAAATTGTAAGTTTATTAGTTATTATATTTAATTACTTTTCTAAATATTATAATTAAAATATTTTATTTTTTATAGGCACAAGATGAACTCTCAACAGCAAAAAGTAACTATGAAGCTTTAACACATCAATTAAGAGAAGAATTACCAATTGTCATTGATGCAGCAACAAATATATTAATAAATTGTATTAGTGCTTTTGCACATGCTAGAAAATTTTTGTGTGGAAAAATTACCAAAAGATATTTAAATCTCTGTGAGGTATATTTCAAACAAAATTATGAAAAAAATATAAATAATAATAAATATATATAAAATAATTATATAAAATAATTATATAAAATAATTATATAGATAAATATATAAAAACTATAGAGAATATATAGAAATTATACAATTTATTTATATTATTATTTATTTATTTTTATAGACTTCAACTCAATTAACATCTCAGGATATTTTGGAATCATTTCTAGTTAATCATAATTTATTATGGAATCAAATAACTCGTTTTGCATTTGCTGGATCAAATCCACGTGTAGAAGAAGCACAATCTACTTGGTGTCCACAAAGTGAAAGACAAAGAATTTCATTAAAAAATAAATATTTTAATGATAAGTTATATGTTGTTACAGAAAATGTACCAAGCACTTCATCTTTGGATATGGGCGCAGCACGTGGAACATTAGTTGCAGTTATTAAAAAACAAGATCCTATGGGTGATAATTCTAGATGGTTTGTAGATAATGGAGTTGCTCAAGGATTTTTACCTGCTAAAAGTTTGCAACTTCAAAATATACCACAAATTAAACAAGTTACCAATGAAGTTACAACATCAAATAAATGTAGTAATACATCTATGCCTGATTTAATTTGTATGGATTCTCCTGAAAAAGAACCCAAATCTACATTCCAATCACATTTGCAAGAATTGCTAGATCTTAATATTAATAAAGAAATGAATAAAGATATTCATTATTATGGTAATATTGAACAAATTCCTAGAGTTCAGCAATATCAAAATTTAAACTATGAGGTAATATTAATTATATATTATATAATATAATAAATATATATTATATAATAAAAATTCCTTTATTTATTATTTAAAATAAATAATATTTTTCAGTTTTACTATGCAGAATATGATTTTTCTATAAAAATACCTGGAACATTATCTGTCATTAAAGGACAAGCATTGAGACTCGT